ATAATATCGATCAATGGTGCACGGAAAATGATATGATGCTTAATCGTTCTAAATGCAAAGTGCTAATTATCTCGTTCGCTAAGGACGTTCCTAATCTTCGACCATTGTTTATTAAAGATCACTGTATGTCCCCAGTTTTATCAGCAAAGGTTCTTGGTCTTCTGATCTTAGTTGGAACTTACATGTTGAACACATAGTATACAAGGCATCAAAGAGACTTTTTTTTCTCCGAGTGCTTAAACGCAGCAGTCTTGGAGGGAGTTCTCTAATTCAAGTCTATACCACATGTATACGACCTGTGCTTGAATATGCATGCTAGGTTTGGAACTTCAACTCCCCTGACTATTTAAAGGAAGAAATCGAAAGAATTCAGAAGCGAGCCCTACCAATAATATGTCCTGACCTGTCATACCGCAAAGCCTTGGAAGTTCATGAAATATCGTTGCTCTCTCAAAAACGAAATAATTTATGTAAATCCTATTTTAAGAAGCTTCTCAACCCGGAAAATAAATTGAATGAACTTATCCCTAATAAACGCGAGGACTTACGTACTTACAATCTACGTAATGATCAGCATATTAACTTAATTAATTGTAAGACTACAAGATTTAGTAAAAGTTTTATTCCTTCTAGTATCGTATCATATAATGATTCATTTTAATTGTAATATAAATTTTAGTTTTAATATACCGTATATTACTATATGTATTAGTTTTACTATGTATTTTAAATGTCAACTCTGTACAATTCAGCTGTTAGCTGCCATTCAGATTTTGTAATAAATTCCGCAATTCAATTCATTTGAGCGACGTATAGCTCTTATAGTTTTTTCGCTATGGTAGATCAAACGCCTGAACTTTTTTGCGCCTCCCGGTATATATATGTAAATAAATATTATTTGTCTTGTGCTACCTTATATCAAAATATAGAAATGAGTATATTAAATAACGAATATAGTACAATCAACTCGCGATTGTGATAGCCCTGCTTGAAAGCCGTGGTATCCAGTGGCGCACATTGCGAAAATTTCTGGGGGATGCCAAATTTTTTGGGACCTACTTTCATGGCTCAGTATCCTAATAATAATAATAATAAAATCTTTATTTAAACTGCATAATTGTGACAATACGATGATCGTATTGATCGCTGGTATTAATACAGGTGCCGAAATTCTCTTCATTTCCTACCCACCCGGCGCCCGCTCCATCTCATTCTCAAAAAACTGCCAGTTTACTGTTTAACTACTACAATCTAAAAATGATTAATAAACGCATTGGAGTTGCTCCAATTTGTACATGCAATAAAAAAAAGACACATGCACCAAGAAGATTCGGAATATAGACTATTCCATTTTTGTAAGCATTTTTATTTTTGTATACCTTCTAAGATAAGGCCAATGAAAATTGATATCATGTTTCTCGTCCACAATTTTCAAAAATTTGGAGCGGGATTTTTTCATTTTTCATTATTTTTTGTATTTGAATTGTGCTTGTCAATAATTTCCTTGACCCAGTAAAAAACCCCATAAAAATCTGAAGTACATCGGTCTATAATTCATTTTAATTTAATGACTTTAATACCAGGGCGGACATGAAAAATAGAGGCACTCTGGCGAGTAATATCTTTAGAAAGATATAATTTGAGTTGCGCTTGCGGAATGCAGCAATAAAACTTTGATCTGGAGATCAATTTGGTGTTTTGTTAAGCCTATTTTTCAAAAATAATGAATAATGAAAAATTTTCGTGCGGCAGATAAATCCCATGCGGGCGGGGACGAGAAACATGATATCAATTTTCTTTGGCCTAAAAACCTTATAAGTTCAAACCATTTAGCCGTTTTAGCAGAATTAGTGAACTACACTTTGTAGAATCATCGATTCATCGTTCCTGGTTTTTAATTCTTAAGTTCATTGAAGAAACGCTTCCTATAGTAGTAATATTACCCAACATTTGTCAAATGTCGTGTTTTTGCCCAACGATCCACAATTTCATCCGGATTAATCGAGTCTGTAATGTCAGTTTCGCATCCAAGCATCATCAAACTTTTAAGTCTCTCTTTTAAATTTAATTCTTATCCTTGCGGCAGAATCACATTTTCTGCCTGATTCTGTAAATCGCATTTTTGTAGATTGTACAACATTTACCTATTCTACCTATCAATATCTATCTATCTACAGCCTACATGACACAAACCTTAGGCTTCACATATTTTATGGCATGGTCTGCCTACAAGACCCTGATGAGTATGTCCGCATGCACATAGTCTCAACCACAACAAGTGAATGGATACGAAATTAGTCGAAATACACAGTGAACAGCATGGACCACCTAAATTGCGTGTGATGCCAATACACTGAAACACTGTAACAACCACAATGCCAATAACAACTTTAAATTTGTAGCTGTAAATTTGTAGCCAAAAAGAGAACAACATTGACACATTGTTCAGTTCTCTTTTAGTGGCGACAAGAGCTAGTTGTTATTTTACATTTCTGTTCTTGTTTACAATACGTAAAATCGTAAATGGGAAATCCTCGGCAAATGCAACCTCGTTCCCAGGGCTTCAGTGTGAGGACGAGGCGAGACACGAGGAAGCCCTGGTCCGGGCCGGTCACGTGACGTCAAAAAATGGCAGTATTTGACAGCTACTCGTCAAGGAGTGGCGAGATATTCTTTAATGAAATATACAAGTCTTCGAAACAAATAAATAGCCAAAAGACTTCTCAATCGATATTATTTATGTGTAGAGCGAAGTTTGGCACGAATCAGCTAAAATCTATGAAGATCCCGTCTATGTTTTCTAAGATATACCAATATTTCTGGAGATTTTCAACTACAGGCAAAGCTGCATCCAAGCTGCATCTAGGCGTCTCCATGCAAGTGGTGATTCACACGAAATTTCCTTTCTCTCGTCTTGAACAATATGGCTATTGCTATAATTAATATTTAGTTTAAATATGCTCTTATAGATCTGACTTAGTTCAATATAAATAAACACAAATATAAAACCTCGCGTAACCTGTTTACGCTGTACAGGAATATACGGATTCGCTTGTTTCGCCGGACACCAACACTTGCCGTTCAGGAGCAATGCTTGCCTACAAATTTTATCCCCTTCACAATCTTTGTTTTATTTTATCGTATAGTCGCAATTTTCAAGTATTCGGGGTATTCTGGAACTGTGAAACTCGGTGGCGTGACGAATCTTGTAGGGACTACATCGGCCAAGGCGTAGAGCTATTAAGTAAACAGGGCCTAAATTAATTTAGTAGTTTCATTTAATTGTTTGTCTTGCTTTTATTTGTCAGTACAGAATATTGTAAATTAAAATATTACTACAATGCAATACGCGTAGTATTTCATCAGACATCTGCACTACATTATAAATACTGTACAGGGAAAACTACGGCTCAAATAATAGTAGACGTTTCTTGTTTTGTCAGGCTCACGTCTCAGCTCACGTCGACACGGCTTTTGAGTTTTGTAACCGGCCGAGGCGAAAGTAAATCATGCAGTCGGGAAAACGTCTCATTTTGAAAGATTATTTTGCAAAACATACTCGTACACATAAGAATCATAAAAATACAAATGTTGAATTGTTATTGTCAACTGTCAAGTTCAGTTATTTTTAGACAATATGGTGTTAGCCAATCAGAATGCAAAATTGACCGGCCCGGACCAGGGCTTCCTCGTGTCTCGCCTCGTCCTCACACTGAAGCCCTGGGAACGAGGTTGCGGCAAATGTATTTAGAGTGAAGTTACAGAATACAGGGTTAAATAACAGTTTCGCAAAGTTTTGTATAAAAGGAAATAAATAAAAGTTTCGCAAAGTTTCGTAAAATCGCAACCGTTCGGTCAAACCTAAACAAAATAAGTGCAAGGCTAGTTCAGCATAGCCTCCGCTCCTGCGGCATGGTTCACTTTCCTTATCCCATACCTGTGTTAAAAGCGGCTTTCTGATCGGTTTAGAGCAGGTGAGCTTGTTGTCGAGCTCACCTGCTTTTTGCCGAACTCACCTGCTTTTCGCCCGAACTCACCCGCTAAACTGCTTACGTTGTAATAACAATAACAAATATGGCGGACCGAATTTAGCCGATAAACCTAAACTTTAACGAACTTTTTTCGGTGACTAACATACTGAGACTGAAGAAAAACCAAAGAAAAAATGCAGTAAAGGTAATGTAGACGTAGATAAAGAAGTATTTTCAGTAAAGGTAATGTAGACGTAGATAAAGAAGTATTTTCTTGCCCAGTGATTTTTTTGGGCGGGAAAATGTTCACAAAACATCGACGAAAGTGACGAATATACCGCGAAGAGCTACAAATGTGTGTATGGCTCGATGTATGGGATAAAAACCAAACGTACTTGCAGGTTCGGTGAGTCCCTCGCTTCGGGAAACTTCCAGCCACCCGAGGTGCGTCCAATCCGGACTCACCTCCCTGCAAGTACGTTTGTTATAATACCCTGTGAGGATATAAGAAAATCGTTGACTAAATTGAGGTACAGGAAATTACACAACTCATTTAAAATCACAAGCGACAATCCGGCGTATAAGGGATATAAGCCCCCAAAATACACTCTGCTCCAGTCTGTTGCTCGGAAAATTATACCTGAGCCAGCCCGGGTTGAAAATTGCTGACCCGGGTTGGCAAAAATTTTCGTCAACCCGGGTTCATCTAAACCGAATAAAAATAACCACCTGTGGCGCGCTGACCCGTGTTGAAAATCATCCTGGGCTCGTGTAAAGGGGGACTAAATAAGCCATAAACGAGAGGCCGGAGACTGGCGAGACACATGTAGAGGTCCTATTACCTCAACCTCGTACCCAGGGCCTTTACGCGGTTCAGAGGCTCTGGTACAGGAAGCAAAGGCCCTGGTAAACACTGGTCATGTGACTCCAAAAATATTGGACATTTCGTAATAATTTAGTTTTCAATCCGGGGGGAGCGGAAATTGATTTTATCAAACATGGCAGCGCGAAGGCGCGACGTTTTCGAATTTTCATATTATTATGATAAATAAAACTTTCCTAGTGAGATTTAAGAGTGGGTATATATTATCTATGCATTCTACGAGCTTTCTTTCAACAAATTGTGGAATAGCTAACGGTAATACTTATCAAAGATCGAAGGACGAAGATCAAACTGAGAGAAAACTAGTCGAGTGATCTGTCTTTAAACTGTCTATTTTGTATCCAATGCAGCTGCTTGTGTGCGACGTTTTATAAAGAATTAAATAAACATTGTTGATTATAAGTAATTTTTATGTATTGACCAAAGAATATCACTTGGAATTTTATTGTACTTTTATGGAAGGATAAATCAGAGGGGACATCTATGGAAACGAAATTCTTCATGTGTATTAAACATGTAGTTATAAATATCAAAGCAGAATATTTTGAAACAATTAACTGGTCGAGTGACAGGTTGGTTTCCGTATGTATGTAGTTTAAAATACAGTTGTGAATGAAATTGTACACAGTATCTTGAAACCTTTGTTTGTGTGAGTTAATTTCATATTTATTTTTTGGGATGTATCATCTATATTTCTGTTTGTCTGGAAGGGAGGGGGGGTACCAATCCTGAAACATGAGAAATAATATATACAGTGATCTTGAAACAACAAATTTACTATGAATCTTATATCAGTGATATGTGACTTAGGAGTCTTAAAGGCAAATAACAGTCTGTATATTGTTTACATTTTGCAGTTACTGTACATCGGTTCATGATTTATGAAATTTGAACCAAAGCTGTAACATAATATTAGTCATGGCACAAGTCACTATGCAGAGTTTTATTTGTATTGAGGAGGTAGGGCTTCTAAGAGAGACACAGAGGCTTAATGAATATGGTTACACTGAATTTTATCAGTAAGTAAATTTCATTTTTTACATCCTGAAACCAAAAATCACCATATGCATGAATTACATATCACTTTCACTTGTCACAGAGTGAACATACCAAATTCAAACAACATTCACACTGTTTCTAGATGAAATAATCAACCGATATTTTGGGCAAACAATATAATTCATGAGGGGAAAAAATAAATATTTATATGTGTGCACATAGTTTCAAGATCAGCTAACGGGATTGAAACCAGCTTTCCCAATTATGCTTGGAGCTGATGAGAACAGTTAGTTTTGAACACAAAATGGCATGGGACTTAATTCATCTAGGTGGCAATATATTGCCTTCTCACCAGCACAAATGATCAAGTCATACGCATTCATTACTGCCGATCTTTATTATTTATGTCTCATTACAAATACAATATATTTTTTATCATTATGAGCAGTATCATTGCAACTTGTGCATCACAAATATCATCACAACTTCTATTTCACCACCATCATCATCATTATTCTCACCATTCTAATTTTATTTGTCAATCAGAATGAATAAAAAATTTCCTATTTTACACCACTCATATATTACTTATAAATTGGTCATGGCCATTTCACATCGCTCCAGGATCTGAATACCCTGCAATCACCTTTTCGATATAATACTAAAAGGGAAACAAACGACAATGTCTTACTGGCACACTGGAATATCATAATTGCCATAAAATAACTGTCATTTGAAACCACATTCTGCTGTAACAGCACAACTGCTCAAGGTTGCAAAGTAAATAATAGGGATGTAGTAAGGCCAGTATTACTGGTAATTGTCTTTTTACATTTTGCTCACAACCAAATTCCAATTATATGGAGCAAAAGTTAGAATATCCAGCCACTTTTTATTGCTCACTTAACCTTACACTTGACAAGTAAAATTGTCTGCTGTTGGACAGAGAAAAATAACAAAGTATGCCATATTTGATTATCCCATATTCCCATTACTATAGTGTGACCACAAAAGACTCTCCCTAATTGGATGGGTAAAATTGGGGGCTATGGAGATTTAATGGCAAGAAGTGGGGGAAACATTTTCTCCAGTAAAATTTATGGGGGCCATTGGAAATTTATGGGGGCCATTGGAATTTTATGGGGGCCATTGGAATCATCAACCAGAGTATTGAGGCGATAAAGGATGGTTGTCCAATACAGCAGCATTTCACGACTCGTTACAACTTGTAAGGAATATTTCACAACTCGTGAAGGACTTAAGAGTGCATCCAGCCAAGTGGTGAACTTCACGAAATTCGTACGACTCGTTAAATCCGTGAAATTTCACGACTCGTTACAACTTGTAATGAATGTTTCACGAGTCGTGAAGGACTTAAGAGTGCACCCAGCCAAGTGGTGAACCTCACGAAATTCGTACGACTCGTTAAATCCGTGAAATTTCACGACTCGTTACAACTTGTAAGGAATGTTTCACGAGTGGTGAAGGACTTAAGAGTGCAGGCGCCAAGTGGTGAACTTCACGAAATTCGTACGACTAGTTAAATCCGTGAAATATCACAACTCGTTACAACTTGTAATGAATGTTTCACGAGTGGTGAAGGATTTAAGAGTGCGGCCAGGGAAGTGGCGAACTTGACGAAATTCGTACGACTCGTTAAATCCGTGAAATATCACGACTCGTTACAACTTGTAATGAATGTTTCACGAGTCGTGAAGGACTTAAGAGTGCACCCAGCCAAGTGGCGAACTTCACGAAATTCGTACGACTCGTTAAATCCGTGAAATATCACGACTCGTTACAACTTGTAAAGAATGTTTCACGAGTGGTGAAGGACTTAAGAGTGCACCCAGCCAAGTGGTGAACCTCACGAAATTCGTACGACTTGTTAAATCCGTGAAATTTCACGACTCGTTACAACTTGTAATGAATGTTTCACGAGTGGTGAAGGACTTAAGAGTGCGCCCAGCCAAGTGGTGAACCTGACGAAATTCGTACGACTCGTTAAATCCGTGAAATTTCACGACTCGTTACAACTTGTAATGAATGTTTCACGAGTGGTGAAGGACTTAAGAGTGCGCGCAGCCAAGTGGTGAACCTGACGAAATTCGTACGACTCGTTAAATCCGTGAAATTTCACGACTCGTTACAACTTGTAATGAATGTTTCACGAGTCGTGAAGGACTTAAAAGTGCAGGAGCCAAGCGGTGAACGTCACGAAATTCGTACAGGTACGACTCGTTAAGTCCGTGAAACTTCACGACTCGTTACAACTTGTAAGGAATGTTTCACGTTAAATCCGTGAAATTTCATGACTAGTGACAACTTGTAAGGAATGTTTCACGAGTCGTGAAGGACTTTAAGACTGCACCCAGCCAAGTGGTCAATTTCACGAAATTCGTACGACTCGTTAAATCCGTGAAATTTCACGGCTCGTTACAACTTGTAAGGAATGTTTCACGAGTCGTGAAGGACTTAAGAGTGCACCCCGCCAAGTGGTGAACATGACGAAATTCGTACTACTCGTTAAATTCGTGAAATTTCACGACTCGTTACAACTTGTGATGAATGTTTCACGAGTCGTGAAGGACTTAA